ATTGGCGCCACGTAGCGAAAAGAAGAAACGACTGGCGCGCTGTTGTTAACTCGGCTATAATCGCGTAAGCGGTGACTACGCCAATCAAGAAGAAGAAGAAGATTTCACCACATTAAACACACTTTATTCACATTTTTCACTTCAAATTAATTAAATTACACTATAAATTTTTAAATAAATCCACTTTTAGCAGGTTTTTTACCTAAAAAATCTTTATTTTAAAAACCATATTTTACACTCGTTTGAACCTCATTTGTTTACCAAAAATTAAGACGAAATGAAGCGGTGCCATGTGATGATTAGGCAATTCGCTGGAACTCCTCTTTTTCGCAAAAATAAATCTATTCATGCATATGGATATTTTCTTTTTAAGCTATTGYATAGCTTCTACCGCGGGCTTTGAGCGCGGGGACCGTAATCCAGAAATTCCGTAACGGAAAAACCTCACGCTCCGCACTCCAACGGGCACGGAGGGGTGGCTTGAAGGCCGTTCATCGTCTAACCAGAGAATGTAAAGTATAGAGAAGGTGCAGGTTCAATGTCGAACATTCGTTAGATTCAAAGTAAGGAATTCGCCGCATTTGTTAACATTGTAGGTCGGAATTCGCCTCATAATTTTAAAATTTTTTACAATTCTCTCACATATTCTAACCGAGAGTATGAAGAGAAATAAATATATGTATTTACGGCATATGATGGCATGGCATATATGCCGAAACAGAGAATATGAAGAGACAGAGATATATGTATGCATGCCCATGATTACACTCATAACGAAGAATCTCGTTTTGCTTGTTTATATTTTTTCACTTTTGATAGCCAAAAATGTGTACAAAACACACCTCTCACACAGATAACATAAAGATATTGTGTTCTCTGTCTCACATACTCAAGAATATGAAGAGTCATAAATATGTATATGTATGCATGCTCCTTATAATACTCCCAATAACAGCATTGTGATATTTTCATGCTTCAATTTTTGCTACCGCAATGTATGCAAATATGTATACTTTTGCGTTTTTCCGTCGGCATTTCCATATTGGCATGTAAAAATAATTATGATATGAGTACAATTTTGTATGAATGCATGCGTAGTACTATTTACAGTCAATTTGGACTTGAATATTTAATAATTTTATTTGATTTCTACTAAATATACTATACTAATAGTAGTAATAGAAA